CGCAATGCTGAAGTCATGCCGGCGCGCAAAGCTTGTTCGTTCGCGAATTCATCACCAATCAGGATTTACGGTACCCCCGGCCGCGGCGACCACGACGCGGCGCTATCTGTCTGTCTGTCTGTCCACAAAAGTGGTGGCAACGACCTTCAGGCGCTAAGCGTTCAGTCCTGTCCTCAGCCAGCCAGAGGTCTCCAGTTCGAGCCTGGTAGCGACCTCTTGGCGACTTCCTCGGCACCCTTGGAGATGATGCCTGGCCCTATGGGGATAGTGTTCTGGGAGATCTCGAGTACGACAACACACTGTACGGCAGCAAACTGTACGGCACGGTTGCCATGCTGTGTGGTGACACATCATGTGGTGTACGACATGTACGACAATGTACGACAGCTGTACGGCAGTGTACGACAGCGTACGACAACTGTCGTACGGTTGTACGGCATCTGTACGACACGGGTTTTGACACGGCCTCACATCCCCCTCCATGCTCCCCACTCCCCTTATCGTCCCCTCGTCCCTCCAGCACCTCTGAACGCCCCTGCATCACCATGAGGTGTACGGCAACGCAGTACGGCATGGGTTTCGACACGCCCTCTGTTGTAGATTCGTTAGGTTCGTAAGAGTAGGTGGTAATCTACCAAAGGTAGTACCGACTGTCTCAGGCTGGCACTGCCCCAGCCACAACTCCGAAGAGTGTGCTCCAGAAGGTTAAGCAACGTAACTTAGCCACTGTTCTGTGAGCAGAGACGATTTAAGCCATAGGATCGTAACTTCTGGAGTTCCGTACAGATTCCTAGTAATCCTCATCATAATCCTTCCGTTAGATTATCCTCATTCTGTTATGATTGCACAACCATAATCTTAACTTCCTCTTTAGTAATTAACCCTACAAACATTATTCCTTAGTAGAGTTTCCTTAACATGTCTATCGACATGCCGCTACAACATCTGCCTCCCTCCCCTTAAGCGCCAGCGTCCTCGCGGCGTTCAGGGTGGTTAGCCCATTATTCATCAATCACATGTCGGTCCACAAATTCCTTTTCATCAACCCATGTGTTATGGGCATGATCATAACCCTGCCATTTCACATAGAAACGGGTAAGGGTACGTTTCCTTAACTTCTTACTTTCATGATCCAAAATCTTCTCCACAGTCCATACAGGTCGATTCGTAACGGGTTCAAACTCTAACGGAGGTGGTGGTTTAACTGAACCTCCAGGGACATCAGTTCGATAAGGCCGTAGCAATGAAACATGAAACACATTATGGAACCGATATTCAGGAGGCAAGGTTAACTTAGCAGCCACCGGATTGATCATTTCTTCAATAGGGAAGGGTCCAATAAACTTAGGCATCATTTTCCGGGTACCACGTTGAACAGCAAGATTCCGAGTACTCAGAAGCACTTGTTGCCCAACAGTGAAAACCACCTTACGTCTCTTACGATCCGTATCACTCTTTGCACGATCCTGTGCTGCCTGCATGCATTTCTTAGCAGCTTCAATATGATCATGAAACGTAGTAGAATAATCCTTAGCAGCAGGTACAGCATCTCCAATCTCACGGTGCAGAGGCGTCCGTGGATGGAAACCATAATTCAGATAGAAAGGAGACTGACCAGTAGACCGATTCTTAAGGTTGTTAATCGCGAATTCAGCAGCATCCAAATACTGGTCCCACTGCGTGGGATCGTATTCTGCATACTGCCGTAGCATATCCCCAAGAATCCGATTCATACGTTCCGTTTGTCCATCAGTCTCAGGATGAAAAGCCGTACTCAAATTCTGTTTCGTACCCATACGTTTCAATAACGCAGGTAAGAAAGCTCCAGTAAACCGAGGGTCTCGGTCCGAAATGATCATCTTAGGCATGCCATGTAAACGTACAACACAATGGAACATAAGGTCAGCTGTACGTTCAGCAGTCACCGAATCTTTACACGGCGCCACATGAACCATCTTAGTCAAACGATCCACAAACACTATAAGGCCGTTGTTCTTACGTTTCGTTTTCGGTAATCCCATAATGAAATCCATAGAGACGCTGTCCCAAGGCATCTCAGGAATCGGTAAAGGCTGTAAAGTACCTAACGGAGCACCCGAAGCAGGCTTATTCCGTTGGCAAGAATCACAAGTAGCCACGAAATCAGTAACATCAGCTCGAAGCGTAGGCCACCAGAAGTAACGTTGCACTAGTTCAATCGTCCGGTCACGACCAGGATGACCAGCCATAACGTCCGAGTGATTCTTAACAAAAATTTCCTTCTTAATATCCGGATCATTAGGGATCACTATCTTCAGCTCATTTTCTCCCTCCTCCTTCCTCTGAAAGAATCCGTCAGGATTCGCTATGAGGTCCTTAAGGTTCTTAGGATCCTGAAACCAGACATCACGCTGCGTTGCAGCCTTAATTCGAGTAAGCAAGTCAGGATCACTAGTCGTGCCCGTACAGCACGCCATAAAAGCAAGGAGAGGATGACGAGAAAGTGCATCAGCCACCACATTTAACTTACCAGGCCGATAAACCCACTCAAAGTTGAATTGCTCCAGAAATTCAACCCATCGAGCTTGTCGTCGGCTTAAATGAGCTTGGGTCTTAAGGTACGTTAAAGGGTGGTGATCCGTAACAAGGGTAAATGGGATAGAGCTCTGTAGATAACAACGCCACTCACGTAGCACGTTAACAACACCAAGTAATTCCTGTTCTCCAGTACCATAATTCCGTTCAGCAGGTAAAAAACTTCTTACTCGTGAAGGCCACCGGACGTCCATCTTGTAATAAGACAGCACCCGTACCATTCAACGAGGCATCAGAGATCACCTCAAAAGGTTTCGTAAAATCCGGATAACGTAAGAGAACATCATCTTCAAGGTGTCGTTTCAGAGCCTCAAAAGCAGCCAAAGCCTGTGGAGGCCATGGACTCGGTAGACGTGCTCGACCGAAAAGATCCGTGAGCGGGGCAGCCACAGAAGCAAAATTCCGTATAAATCGCTTAAAGTAAGTGGCTAAGCCAACAAAAGAACGTAACTCGCTCAGGTCTTTCGGTAAAGGCCATTGTCGTATCATTTCCACCTTCTTAGGGTCCATACGTATTCCATCAGCATTCACTATATGGCCAAGGTACTTAACTTCAGACCGCCAGAATTCACATTTAGAGAGCTTAGCCTGTAATCGATGTTTCCGTAAGACCTCCAATACAAGCCGTAAATGCTCCGCATGCTCCTCAGAGGTTCGTGAATAGATCAATATATCATCCAGATAAACCGTAACGAACCGATGTAAGTAGGGAGCAAAGATACGGTTCATAGTCGCTTGAAAAGTCGCAGGAGCATTCGATAAGCCAAAGGGTAACACCAGCCATTCAAAATGACCCAAGGGCGTAGTAAACGCCGTCTTAGGAACATCATCAGGGTGAATACGTAACTGGTGATATCCGGAGGTCAAATCAAGGGCCGTAAATACGCGAGCACCAGCAAGGCGATCAAGCGTATCATCAATACGAGGGAGAGGATACCTATTCTTTATAGTCAACTTATTCAAGGCCCGATAATCGATACACATTCGTAGCTCTCCAGTCTTCTTGGCCACAAACAATATTGGTGCTCCATACGGTGACGTAGAGGGTTGAATAAACCCTTTTTCCAATAGTTCCTTAACCTGTCGTTCCACTTCTTGAATCTCTAATTGCGATAGCCGATATTGAGGGCGAAAGACAGGTTGAGCACCAGGTTCAAGTGGGATGGTATGATGTACCCCGCGGTCAGGGGGCAAACCGGTGATTGGCCCAAACACATCCGCATACTCCTTTAACAGGGCCACTAATTTCGTATTCTCTACAATCTCAGGTGGAAATTCCATAGAATGAACCTCGGGAGCCGTACTGTCAGGCAAAGGTGCGTTTCCAGCCTGTCGAACAAGTACAAGCAACCCACGGGCACCGGTAGACCCGTAGAGGTCCCTAAAAAGCACGCTCCGGAGTCACTATCTTAACCTTAGTTGGCACCTTTTCAAGTAACATTACTTTCGTTTCCGTAGGATCACTTTCAACATCCATAGTCATAGGGAACGCATTGCTAGCACGCAGAGTAACGGTGCCGCCATGCGTTTGCCGTAAAATCATTTCATTACGAGCAGGCCGTAGTTGAGCGTCATAACGAGCTAGGAAGCTTTTGCCAAGGATCAGATCAGCTGATACCGTTAAGCTAGGCAACACTAGCATCCGTACGTTCGCCGTAAAAGATCCCAGACGTAACCGTGCTCGGCATTCGCCAAGTATAGGAGACGTAGAAGCATCAGCCAAACGTACTGGCGCAAAAGGAGCTGGACAAATTGTTAAGCCAAACCGTTCTGCCATAGCCTTAGAAGTGAAACAATGGGTAGCTCCAGTATCTGGTAAGACTTGTACCACATTGCCACCAATGCGTCCAGCATAGAGATCAAGACGCTCATAAGATTCCGTAGTCATACACCTAGGTTCAGTAACTTCTGATAGAGGAGGATCCCACCATATTTCTGTATCCTTTTCTTCAAGAGGAGGATCCGCTTGTCCGATTCGTGCTGCATAATACAGTCGAGAGCCAGCCTTAATCGTTTTCAAGCATTCCATACCATTCATCATACCTCGCACAGCATGAGGTGTTGAAGGAATCATTATACAGGCTGACAAACTCGGATCTCGAGCCTTACAAGCCCGATAATGCCGTACAAAAGTCGTCAGCTGGTCATAAGGCGGGTTAATCCATAGTGTGTGGCCAGTACAATCGTAAGAAAGGAAAGAGCAAGATGGTGAAGCATAGGTCTTACATATGGCATTACTGCCATCATCGTTAGCAGCAGCGTCCAAGGAAAACTTCCGTCCAATACGTTGTTCAAGCTCGCGAATCACTTTAAGATTCACCATACGCAAATCGCTCTTAGACTTATGTCCATCAGCATCCATACAAGGGTCACCAAGCTTAACGACGTTAGCTTCACTTGGATCGCTCGTAAGTCCATTCTTATCCCTTTCCTGAGCCGTTATCCCAGTCTGCACGCCACACGTATGCAACTGGGCCAATTCCTAACCCTTAGCCCAAGCAGGACCGTTAGGGCAAGCAGCCGAAACGTGCCCCCCCTGTCCACACTTGCGGCAATCACCCCGAACCATCATGTCATACTTCTCTTTGTTCGTAAGCCGTACACCCTTCTTCCACGGACTCCACCAGTCCGAAGACTCGTTGGGTCGCTCCGTAGCTGCTCGCGCAACCGCCTCAGGGATCGTACTTTTGCCGTTAGCCTGGCCATTACCATTACCACTACCGGAGGCAGCAGCAGCAGCGTTGGAAGGGTTCGTAGCAGCACCGTTAGACGAGCGAGGCCTCTTAGCATTGTTCACTTGTTGCCAGGAATCGTTAGATCGTTTGCCGGTAGTTCCATCCTGCCGGGATCGTCGGTTATGGAATCGGGTTCGGTTAGAAGCGGCGAAGAAAAGAGCAGCACGCGACTGTCCTTTCCCACGCTCCTTAAGCTTCTTCTCTTCACCACGAGCCAATTGGATCAATGAATCCAAGTCAGGCAGGTCACCACCGGTAGCATTAACGACGCATTGAGCTCGTAAGTCAGGTACCAGGCCATTAAGGAAGAACTTCATAATCACTTTCATATCAGTCATTTTAGCACGCCGAACAGCCTCGCGGAAACGAGGAACAATTTCAGCAACGCCCTTCTTAGCATCCATAAGAATCTTTCCCGTCAGTAGGTCTTCAAGAGCCTCTTCCTCAATAGTCCGTACCTTAGGGTCAAAGCGGTCAATAAAGTCCTTCATAAGCCGCTCCAGATCGACCTCCTGAGCCGTGACATTATTTTCGCGTAGCCATTCCGCCACCCAGGCCTGTGCGCCCTTCCAGCCCTTCACCGCTTGGCTAAACTGCCAAAAGGTTTCCGAAGGAGTCTGGCAGTGCTCAGCAGCCCAAGTACGGAACAGTTCCGCCCAATACTCTAAGGATTCGCTATCAACCGGCTGCGGAGGATCAATCTTAAGAGTCAGTTTGCGTTCAATAATCTTACGGGATTCAGTAGGTGCAGCAACCATAGAGCCATCATTGCTTACCGTCGGTACAGCCCGAGCCTGGCGAACCTGCTCAAGTTGCACCGTCAACCGCAGTTCCTCATTCTTGAGTTCCTGGGCACGGTTCTTTTGCTTCAATAGTTCATTTTCAGCGTTCAATAAGTCCAGACGCCGCTGATCAGCCGTTCCATCGGAGGTACCAGCAGACCCAGCGCCATTTTGGTTCGTAGCAATATTGGCCGTATCTTTATCCTTATCGTTATCCATTTGCGTCGTTACATCTACAGGATCAAGGCGGGTATCTGGTGGGTCTGTCATGGCGACACTTCTAGAGTCACGCAATGCGAACCTTGCTTAGTTTCAGTAGCCTCAACCGAGGAGTACAGAGATAGCAGATTGAGAAGAGTCGCGATCCGGTTTACGTCAACTCCCTTCATACCAGGCTGGCCAAAACCAGCAAGATGAAGGTCACGAAGTACCGCACCAATCCTAAGGTTACGAAGCCGTGCGGCCCGTTCCTCAGGCGTAAAGTTAAAGCGCGTCAATGTGCTCTACTGAGACACCAAAAGATGTTGTAGATTCGTTAGGTTCGTAAGAGTAGGTGGTAATCTACCAAAGGTAGTACCGACTGTCTCAGGCTGGCACTGCCCCAGCCACAACTCCGAAGAGTGTGCTCCAGAAGGTTAAGCAACGTAACTTAGCCACTGTTCTGTGAGCAGAGACGATTTAAGCCATAGGATCGTAACTTCTGGAGTTCCGTACAGATTCCTAGTAATCCTCATCATAATCCTTCCGTTAGATTATCCTCATTCTGTTATGATTGCACAACCATAATCTTAACTTCCTCTTTAGTAATTAACCCTACAAACATTATTCCTTAGTAGAGTTTCCTTAACATGTCTATCGACATGCCGCTACAACACCCTCCCACCCCCCTCCATGCTCCCCGCCCCCCTCACCACCCCCTCGTCCCTCCAGCACCTCTGAACGCCCCTGCATCACCATGAGGTGTACGGCAATGCAGTACGGCATGGGTTTCGACACGCCCTCCCACCCCCCTCCATGCTCCCCACTCCCCTCACCACCCCCTCGCCGCTCTGGCTCCTCTGACCACCCCTGTCGTACAGCGACACGGTATGGCATGGCTTCGGGCACCGCATATCACCAATCTTCTTGTTGCAATATCTTGCATTGTGATCTCGACTAAGCTGTAACTGAATTAATGAGCCATTCGCAGTTTCTTGGTTACTTTCCAAAATCAGTGTCAAAACGTTTGGTGACCGTGACCACCCCCCTCCATGCTCCCCACTCCCCTCACCACCCCCTCGTTGCTCCAGCTCCTCTGACCACCCCTGTCGTACAGCGACACGGTACGGCATGGCTTCGGGCACCGTGTATCACCAATCTTCTTGTTGCAATATCTTGCATTGTGATGTCGATTAAGCTATAACTGAGTTAATGAGCCATTCGCAGTTTCTTGGTTACTTTCCAAAATCAGCGTCAAACTGTTTGGTGACTGTGACCACCCCCCTCCATGCTCCCCACTCCCCTCACCACCCCCTCCTCGCTCCAGCTCCTCTGACCACCCCTGTCGTACAGCGACACGGTACGGCATGGCTTCGGGCACCATGTATCACCAATCTTCTTGTTGCAATATCTTGCATTGTGATGTCGATTAAGCTATAACTGAGTTAATGAGCCATTCGCAGTTTCTTGGTTACTTTCCAAAATCAGCGTCAAACTGTTTGGTGACTGTGACCACCCCCCTCCATGCTCCCCACTCCCCTCACCACCCCTTCCTCGCTCCAGCTCCTCTGACCACCCCTGTCGTACAGCGACACGGTACGGCATGGCTTCGGGCACCACGTATCACCAATCATCTTGTTGTGATGTCTTGCATTGTGATGTCGATTAAGCTATAACTAATTTAATGAGCCATTCGCAGTTTCTTGGTTACTTTCAGAAATCGGCGCAAAACTGTTTGGTGACCGTTACCACCCCTCTCCAAACTCCCTACTCCGTTACTTTCCAAAATCAGCGTCAAACTGTTTGGTGACTGTGACCACCCCCCTCCATGCTCCCCACTCCCCTCACCACCCCCTCCTCGCTCCAGCTCCTCTGACCACCCCTGTCGTACAGCGACATGGTACGGCATGGCTTCGGGCACCACGTATCACCAATCTTCTTGTTGCAATATCTTGCATTGTGATGTCGATTAAGCTATAACTGAGTTAATGAGCCATTCGCAGTTTCTTGGTTACTTTCCAAAATCAGCGTCAAACTGTTTGGTGACTGGTATGGTTTCGGCAAAACAAAATCGGCGCAAAATGTAAGCTGGTTTCGGCGAGAAGCGTGGTCGTGAAGTCGGCGCGTCTGATGAAAAGCGCCGATTACTGGTCGCCGAAGACGAGGGTTTATCGGCGATTACTGATCGGCGAATGCTGTCAGGGGTGATCACCGTGAAAGCTTCTTAGATTTCGGCGCAATTTGCCTGGCATCGGCGAGAGTCTTTCGGCGCAATTTGCAAGCTGGTTTCGGCGAGAAGCATGGTCGTGAAGTCGCCGCATCTCCTGAAAAGCGCCGATTACTGATCGCCAAAAACTATGGTTGATCGGCGATTGCTGATCGGCAAATGCTGTCAGGGGAGATCGCTGTGGAAGCTCTTTAGATTTCGGCACAATTTGCCTGGCATCGGCAAAGGTCTTTCGGCGCAATTTGCAGGCTGGTTTCGACGAGAAGCACGATCGTGAAGTCGGCGCATCTCCTGAAAAGCGCCGATTGCTGATCGCCGAAAATGATAGCTTTTTTGGTGATCACTGACCCACGGGTCATGAGACGTCGCCCTCATGCGCAGATGTGTTTGTGTGTTTGTGTGTGTGTGTGTGTGTGTGCATGTAGTGCGCAGGTAGCGTGGCCACGCCAACATGCCGTAGGGCAGCCCCAAGAGGTCACCGATAGCGGAAAACGTCCGGAGGCGCCCCAAAATTTGAATTTGTAGCAGTTCGACGCCATGCCGTACATGTACGCCATGCCGACTATTGCTTTCGAACATGAGCCGCACGCTGACATCAGGTCCGCCGACCATGCTTGTCTGCAACACATGAGCAACCTCACAACACTGGTCGGCGCGTCAACGTTAGGTCCGCAATGCTGAAGTCATGCCGGCACGCAAAGCTTCTTCGTTCGCGAATTCATCACCAATCAGGATTTACGGTACCCCCGGCCGCGGCGACCACGACACGGCGCTATCTGTCTGTCTGTCTGTCTGTCCACAAAAGTGGTGGCAACGACCTTAAGGCGCTAAGCGTTCAGTCCTATCCTCAGCCAGCCAGAGGTCTCCAGTGACCGTGACCGTAAATCCCCCCGTAACGAAGTGGAGGGGAGGATTGGAGGACAGATCACAATTAAAGTTTGTCCGTCTGTCTGTCCGTCTGTCTGTCCGTCCGTCTGTCCGTTCACAAAAGTGGTGGCAACGACCTTCCGGCGCTAAGCGTTCAGTCCTATCCTCAGCCAGCCAGAGGTCTCCAGTTCGAGCCGGGTAGCGACCTCTTTGCGACTTCCTCGGCACCCTTGGAGATGATGCCTGGGCCTATGGGGATGGTGTTTTGGGAGATCTCGAGTACGACAACACACTGTAGTACGGCAACGCAGTACGGCACGGGTTTCGACACGCCCTCCCACCCCCCTCCATGCTCCCCACTCCCCTCACCACCCCCTCGCCCCTCCAGCACCTCTGAACGCCCTTGCATCACCGTGAGGTGTACGGCAACGCAGTACGGCATGGGTTTCGACACGCCCTCCCACCCCCCTCCATGCTCCCCACTCCCCTCAACACCCCCTCGCCCCTCCAGCACCTCTGAACGCCCCTGCATCACCGTGAGGTGTACGGCAACGCAGTACGGCATGGGTTTCGACACGCCCTCCCACCCCCCTCCATGCTCCCCACTCCCCTCACCACCCCCTCGCCCCTCTAGCACCCCTGAACGCCCCTGCATCACCGTGAGGTGTACGGCAACGCAGTACGGCATGGGTTTCGACACGCCCTCCCACCCCCTTCCATGCTCCCCACTTCCCTCACCTCCCCCTCGCCCCTCCAGCACCCCTGAACGCCCCTGCATCACCGTGAGGTGTACGGCAACGCAGTACGGCATGGGTTTCGACACGCCCTCCCATCCCCCTCCATGCTCCCCACTCCCCTCACCTCCCCCTAGCCCCTCCAGCACCTCTGAACGCCCCTGCATCACCGTGAGGTGTACGGCAACGCAGTACGGCACGGGTTTCGACACGCCCTCCCACCCCCCTCCATGCTCCCCACTTCCCTCACCTCCCCCTCGCCCCTCTAGCACCCCTGAACGCCCCTGCATCACCGTGAGGTGTACGGCAACGCAGTACGGCACGGGTTTCGACACGCCCTCCCACCCCCCTCCATGCTCACCACTCCCCTCACCTCCCCCTCGCCCCTCTAGCACCCCTGAACGCCCCTGCATCACCGTGAGGTGTTCGGCAACGCAGTACGGCATGGGTTTCGACACGCCCTCCCACCCCCCTCCATGCTCCCCACTCCCCTCACCACCCCCTCGCCCCTCTAGCACCCCTGAACGCCCCTGCATCACCGTGAGGTGTACGGCAACGCAGTACGGCATGGGTTTCGACACGCCCTCCCACCCCCCTCCATGCTCCCCACTCCCCTCACCTCCCCCTAGCCCCTCCAGCACCTCTGAACGCCCCTGCATCACCGTGAGGTGTACGGCAACGCAGTACGGCACGGGTTTCGACACGCCCTCCCACCCCCCTCCATGCTCCCCACTTCCCTCACCTCCCCCTCGCCCCTCTAGCACCCCTGAACGCCCCTGCATCACCGTGAGGTGTACGGCAACGCAGTACG